GTGTGTCCAGTGTGTGTGAGTGTGTGTGTCCAGTGTGTGTGTTTGTGTCCAGTGTGTGTGTGTGTGTGTGTGTGTGTCCAGTGTGTGTGTCCTGTGAGTGTGTGTGTCAGGTGTGTGTGTCCAGTGTGTATGTGTGTGTGTCCTGTGTGTGTGTGTGTGTGTGTGTCAGGTGTGTGTGTGTGTGTCCAGTGTGTATGTGTGTGTCCTGTGTGTGTTTCCAGTGTGTATGTGTGTGTGTCCAGTGTGTATGAGTGTGTGTCCAGTGTGTATGAGTGTGTGCCCTGTGTGTGTGTGTGTGTGTGTGTGTGTGTGTATGTGTCCAGTGTGTGTGTCCAGTGTGTGTGTGTTCAGTGTGTGTGTGTGTGTGTCCAGTGTGTGTGTGTGTCCAGAGTGTGTGTGTGTCCACATTGTGTGTGTGTGTGTGTGTCCAGTGTGTGGGTGTGTTTGTCCTGTGTATGTCCAGTGTGTGTGTGTGTGATCAGTGTGTGTGTGTCCTGTGTGTGTGTGTATCCAGTGTGTGTTTGTCCGGTGTGTGTGTGTTCAGTGTGTGTGTGTGAGTGTGTACAGTGTGTGTGTATCAAGTGTGTTTGTGTTTCCAGTGTGTGTCATTGTGTGTCCAGTGTGTGTGTGTGTTCAGTATGTGTGTGTGTGTCCAGTGTGTGTGTGTGTGTGTGTGTGTGTGTGTGTGTCCAGTGTTTGTGTGTGTCCAGTGTGTGTGTGTGTCCAGTGTGTGTGTGTGTGAATCTAGTGTGTGTGTGTGTGTGTGTGTGTGTCCAGTGTGTGTGTGTCCAGTGTGTGTGTGTGTCCAGTGTGTGTGTGTGTGTGTGTGTGTGTGTGTCCAGTGTGTGTGTGTGTCCAGTGTGTGTGTGCCAGTGGAGCGGGAGCGAGCGGGGAGCGCGAGCGGGCGGATTTTGGACAGAGCGCAGAGCGGCATTTTTAAAAGGACGGAGCGTCGCCCTATGTCCCGCTCCAATTTCGCTCTGCTCACACCACGAGTCTGAAGCTTGCACAGTCATCAACAGTAGACTATTTTCAGTCAAAACTCGGCTCAATAATGGAGTTCACCGAGTACTTCAAAAAGGAAAATAAGAAGTCCTACAGGTGTACTATTAATATAAAACTAACTAACAATGATAATGTGGTTCAAGAAAAAGAATGTGGTGACATCGTTTCAGTCAGTAAAGATTCATTTTGGAATCTAAAAAGACACATCTCTCGAAAACACGAAAGTGTGCTACGTGAACACGCTGGGAAGAAAGCAAAAGGTTAGCAAGTTGAATAGGGTAACTTGTAACAAAAGTGTACATTAAATATAGCCTAATATTCAAACAAATTCGTTTTGTCATTCAAAGTAGGCCTAATATATGGTTCGTTTAATTTAATTTGTGTCGTCCATGAATTTGTATTTTATAGAGCAAGAGGAGCAGCAGCAGCAACAAGAGAAAAGGGTTGAGGAATTCAAAAGTTTCTTCACTGCACACAAAGGCCCAACCATAACAAGGGAGAGAAAAAGAGAGCTGGATGTAGCATTTAAAAAAATGATTGACATGGACTATGAACCGCTGAGTACAACACCGTACGGGACACACTCATGCCACATGCCCTGGAAGAGATGGAAGCCAAACTGCAAGACCTACTGCAAAATGGTGATGGGCTCGTTCTGTCAGCGGACAAGTGGACCAGTAGAAGAGGGCACAGCTTCCTTGGCATCGTGGCCAGTTTAATTGATGGGACGTTCCGGGGGCACACGGTTTTGTTGGGCTGTGAGCACATACAGGGGCACCATACCGCAGATCGTATTTACCAAAAGTATGAAAGTGTACTGAAATATTGGAACGTGCAACGACGTGTGATTCGGGTCGTCACTGACAGTGCCAGCAACATGATCAAGGCGTTTAACCTCCTCCCTGGCACTGAAGAGGAGGCGGAGGGTGAAGTGACCGCGGATGCCAGCAGCAGCGCAGAACATGAAGAGGAGGATGAGGGACCACCTGCGCCCTCGCAAGTCCATGTGGAAGTGATAACCTCTAATGTAGAAACTATGATAAATCAGTACTTTACTGTGTCAAATTTACATCTGAGATGCCCCATTCACATGCTTCAGCTGGCGATCAAAGACGCCATTAACGAGCACGACAACATGAATAGGCTGTTAGTGAAATTCGGGCACCTGGTGAAAAGCGTACGCAAGAGCACCCTGAACACAGAGGAAACCGACCAATTAGGTGTCCGCACCACAAATGCCTGCGCCACTCGATGGAGCAGTCAGCTGCGGATGATTCAGTCGTTCATCCGGTTGTTCCAAAAAGACCCGTTATGGCAAAACAAACTCAAGTCTAATGTTGCTAACGTGGTCCTCTGTAGCTCAGCTGGTAGAGCACGGTGCTTGTAACGCCAAGGTAGTGGGTTCGATCCCCGGGACCACCCATACACAAAAAATGTATGCACGCATGACTGTAAGTCGCTTTGGATAAAAGCGTCTGCTAAATGGCATATTATTATTATTATCACCCTGAATCAAGTACGGCAGCTGACGCACCTTGTCAGTGTGCTGACACCACTGGCAGACCTCACAGACCAAATGCAGAAGGAGCTGGGGAACCTGGGGATGATCCTCCCTGCTGTCACAGAAATCAAATCCCTGCTCACCGATGACACTCACGCTGCACTTTCAATGGGCATCCCTGCTTTTGCAGAAACATTGGCAAACAACGTGTCAATTCGCTATGGAATATACTATACTGATAAACATCTCATTTTAGCATCAGTGTTAGATCCCCGTTTCAAGACAGAATGGATAATCCGAGATGAGTCTGTATGCAACAAACTCGGGGAGAACCGTGACCTCCTCATAAAAGAAGCTGAAGAAATTAACGCTCCCAGCGGCACACCCGAGACAGACACCCCACCCGCCGCTGACCTGAATCCCGAGCCTGAACCAAAAAGAGCTCGCCTGTTCGGGTCATACTTCAGTGAGCAGCTACGCATAACCGGAGACGCCAAAGGTGAAGTCGAAAATTACCTCTCATCCCCGAGACAGAACCCAGACGCAGATGTTATTCGATTTTGGAAAGAAAACTCCACGTCTTTGCCTGGCTAAAGTAGCTCGCATTGTGTTCAGCATCCCAAGCGGGTCTGCGAGCGCAGAGAGGGTTTTCTCCGCTGCCGGCCTGCTGTCAAGAAACCACCGCATGAGTCTGAAGCCTCAGACATTGGCCAAACTTGTGTTCTTGAAGGTGAACTCAAAAGAACTGTAGATAAGGAAAGCAATTCATTTTTTTAAATTTTATTTTAAAGTTTGACAATGGATATAAGACAATTTTAATTTTTATCAACGTGCAAGCTGCGCAAAAGTTCTGTTATCAGAATTTTGGCCTAATAGTTAATTTACTTTTAAAACTTTGATGTATAGCCTGTATATTTTTATTTATATAATTAGGCCCATTGATTCGTTTAATTTCACATGACTTTTTGTGTATATTCCTTCTTACATAGGCTAGGCCTCATTTGCAATTTGAAATAAAACATTTCTATTTGGAAAATGTTGTCGTTGCTCTTTAGTTCTTTGGGAGGTAAGGCTGTGGTTTAAGCTAAAAGTGAAATACATGCAGATTTTTTTCCTTTTTTGGAGCGAGCGAGGGGCGATTTGAGTGGAGCGCGATGCAAACTTCGTTGAGCGCTGAGCGATAATGAGCGGACTGGCCTGATGTGGCTTTGAGCGGGGGGAGCGGAGGGGTGAACAGCTCCGTGAGCGATGAGCTGAGATTCTCAGCGCTCCACTCCGCTCATATGCTCTGGTGTGTGTCCAGTGTGTGTATGTGTCCAGTGTGTGTGTGTGTCCAGTGTGTGTGTGTGTGTGTGTGTGTGTCCAGTGTGTGTGTGTCCAGTGTGTGTGTCCAGTGTGTGTGTGTGTCCAGTGTGTGTGTGTGTGTGGCCAGTGTGTGTGTGTGTGTCCAGTGTGTGTGTGTCCAGTGTGTGTGTGTGTGTCCAGTGTGTGTGTCCAGTGTGTGTGTGTCCAGTGTATGTGTGTGTGTGGCCAGTGTGTGTGTGTGTGTCCAGTGTGTGTGTGTGTGTGTCAGTGTTACCATGGTTATTATTTACAGGGACACTGAGGAGTCATAACAAACCCAAAACCCTGGATAGAGGGACTCAGTGAATGTGGAGTGGAATGTGTTCAGGTGGGTCAGTGTGTCAGAGGAGACTCTGTAGAAGGACAGAGTGCCGGCTGGCCAGTCCAGATACACTCCTACTCTGTGGGAGCTGGAGGAGGGGACGTCTATGGTAGTGGACTTATTATTGTGCCAGGCAGAGTAACTGTTGTCAGAGCAGATCAGACTCCAGGACTTGTCATTCCATCCAATCAGACAGTCATTACCCCATCCTCTCCTGCTGATTCCTTTATATGTCACTCCTATACCAGCCCCTCTCCCACTCCACTCTACCTCCCAGTAACAGCGCCCAGTCAGACCCTCTCTACACAGCACCTGAGGCCAGACCTCAAATCTCTCTGGGTGATCAGGATACGGCTGCTTCTCTCTCCTCCATGTCACCTTTCTGTTCTCCTCAGATCAGTTCTGATCATATGTTATACTGTATGGTAAAATAAAACACACTTATTCCCATTAATTACACACACACACACATTGAACACACACACATCCTGAACACACACACACACACACACACACTGAACACACACAGACACAAACACACACATCCTGAACACAAACACACACACACACAATGGCACGCATACACTTTCTGAACACACACACACACACATTTCTAACTTAAGACGAACATGCCACACACAAACACAGACACACACATTGTCAAAGCAACTCTTTGTAAACTTCCTGATTTGGCTTTGAGAACCTTACTAATT